ATTTCTACGATGACTACTAGTGTTCCTCTTACTATTGTTGTTCGAAGTCATCCGTGAGCCCATGGTGGAGGCTGAGTTTAGGGCGCGTTACGGGCGCAAGCTCAGCTCGATTCCATTGCAGGACCTGGCCGGGTCCCCGAGGATTCAGGTCGTGGCTTTCTTTTCGGGAGTTCGACGGTTCGACGTCGAAAGCACCATCGGCGTCACGTTACATGTGACGCAGTCCCAGACGCAACCAGTTCACGACGTCACGGAGAATCCGCCGTTTTTGGCCTTGAAGATCTGCACTGGCGGATGCATCCATTTCAACTGATCACAGTGAAAAGGCCGTTCTGGCCATTGGGATCCCGATGTATTCAGACAGGAGACCCGAAAGCCTAAACCCTGAGCTAAACCGTACACACACCTACACCCTAAGCCCGAAAAGCCAATGGCATAAAGTGTGCGAGAATAGAGATCCTGTGATCCCCCTCCCACAAACCGCGGTCATCTCGGGCTGCAAGCCAGCGCCTGGGCGGGATCACTTCAACTGCTTGACCTTAAGGGTCCAAGTACTCATGATTTAGAGACTGTGGGGCCGGTTTGGGTACCCAACATAAATGAGGACTACTTGGACCCTGAGGTGTCCCGCAGCAGAGGGTACTTGCAGCGTACTCCAGGGTAGCTGAGGGGGGGGAGGGATCGGAAGGGGGTCGGTCCAATCTTTGAGGATGTTGCGATGGTGCAGACGGCGCAGCTCATGGGTGCCGAGGCGAGACCCCTCTTATCGGGTGCTGAAAGGATGGTAACCTGGTAGAGGTTGCTTAAGGGGTTGTAGACGTGTTGAAGTTAAGCTATTAAAACAATACCGCTGTGTGGAAGGTACTGGGATGAGAGTGCAGGATGAGGGGAGAACAGGATTAGGGAGGATAGCCAACTTGAGTGTAAGGGTCATGAATGGTACTGGCCATCCCAACTATGTAAAGTCGACCTGCTACGATCCCCGACCCTCCAAGTCAACGTGTTGTCCTCAAGCCGTCAGCTTATCTTCATGTGCACCCAGAAGTCGCCAAATGTCTGTGGAGTAGGTCCCCAAACATCTTTAAAGTGTGTTCAACAGTTTCGCGAGCCCAATACCCCGTTGATGGGTTCATATCAACTCAGCCATATTCCCTGGATCACAATAACCCTAAAAACCACAACAACGAGTCTCATACGCGATTATGGGGAAGTCCTCATTAAAAGATCTTCGGCTCGTCGTGTCCTTGTAAATCCCGCCTCGGATTGAAGCTTGCAAGGTGGAGCTAAAACAAAAAAGCCTGAAAGCACAGGGTTCATGATTGGAATAGGGCTTTTGTGGTATTTTTTCGTTTGCGCAGATCCCCACCTTCACCCTTAAATCCAACTCCCTGCGCCACACCCAGAGACTCCAATATCCCTTAATTAAGGAATATTCCTTATATCATATTAAGGAATATTCCTTAATTAAGGGATATTGGAGTCTCCTAAACCCTAAACCCTATAGATCCCTTATAGATCCCTTAAAGGAACCCTAGGTGTTCCTAAATTAAGGGGTATTGGAGTCTCTGCGCCACAAGGGTGGCGCCGCTGGGCTCAGTGCATTGGGCAACGAAGGGCTGACGGATGCAGCTCCACGGCGCCCGACGGGCGTCCTAGCGGGCAATGTGGGGGTTTCCGAAAACCCTTTAAGGGTTCCTTTAAGGGTTCCTATAAGGGATCTATAGGGTTTAGGGTTTGGGGGTTCCCGAAAATTAGGGGTACCTTATTTTGGGGTCCTTATAATAAGGATCCTATTATTTAGGGTACTGTATTAGGGTCCCTGGCCCTATTTTCGGAAACCCCCATCTGTCGTAGGGGAGCCCTTGGTGTATTCACGTGTGCAGAGGATTTGACGGCTTGCACTAGTGGACTGCGTATCTAAAATATATGTGTAAGTTGAGCTGTCGGGAGACAGAGAAACACCACGAGAGAGAGAAAGAGAGAAAGATCAAAGTTGAGGGTGGAAGGTCCAGAGGTGAGGCCTCCGAAATGCGAAAGGGATTCCGAAGTTTGAGAAAAGTTGCCTACGGCGACTTAGTAACGCGCGCCTGCATTGCACAATGCAAATACTGGCTCGCATTCAAAGCTAAATAGTGCTTAAAGGATCATGGGACTTAGTAACTAGGGTTATAATTAGGGTAACTATACTTATAACTACGTATAGCCCAATCAAGGTACTTATAAGCTTTCTGACTAAGTCCCATGATCCTCGAAAGTAATGTTTCACATGTTGTACCCACCGTTTAGATCTTTTAGGGCTTAAAGCGGTCTAGAGTCTGAGGGTTCCTTTGCGATGTATGTGAAGAAATCATAATTGGGCGCCCCAAAAGGAAGGGTTCGTAGGGTTCACTTCAAGGATCACGACACTTAGTAGCTATCGCTTTGAGTAAGGTAACTATGTTTATAGTTGCCACTTAACACCCCAATACAAAGTACTTCTAACTTTACTTACTAAGTCCCATGATCCTTAGAACCTTGAACCTTCAAGATTCCTTCTAGAACCCTTAAGCGAACCTTCTGAGAAATCCTCTAAGTTACGAAGTCCCACGATGCTCCAGATGCAGGTAGGTAGTTAAAGTTAGCAGCAGCTGGCATTGTTCCCTAAGCCTTCTTGGAGGGGCAGGGGACTGAGCAGGTCGTTTATAAGTCCGGTTTCAATGGAGGTTGCTCCATTTAGGGTACCTATAACTCTACTTGGGTGGTTGTCAAAATTTAGGTCCCTGTTTGGGTACCCCCAATAAGAGGTGCCGTACTATATTAGGGACCCAACATTCGGGACCCTAATTTTAACAACCACCCACATATATCCTACTTACTAAGTCCCCTGCCCCTCCAAGTTTTGAAGTGCCGTCCAAAGCCCTGGCTTTTAAGGGTCTGTGTACCGAACTAGTGTAGTTTATACTTGGGCCTTAACAGAGTCCCTACATGGGCCCAAAAGAGTGGAGCCGTAGGGGAATAGTTACCAATACTATTTTGGGTGCTCTTTATTATAATTGTTGTATAATGTATAATGGGCCCTAAAACCCTATTCTAGTCATTAAGGGCCCTATGTTACAACATGCGAGATGGGATGAGCATTAATATGGAATGCGATATCTACTTGCTTGAAGGGCAGAGAGACTTGTAAAAATAAACCTATTTGAAAAGGCAGGTCACTCATAAACTTATAAGGTCGGTTCGAAGTAAGCCAATGAAGCCTTGTTTGTACCTGCCTTCGAAGTGCTTATACCTCAACAGCAGCACCATCAAGGTCCACAGCCCGAAATCCCCAGCTACCTAAAATCCTGAACCTCTGAACCTGGACCCTGCAACATCTCCACCCTACTTGTACCCTAGGCGGGGTCGACGAGCTATTGAAGCAGCTGCGGACAGAGCCCACCGACGAGACCGAATGCGCCGCCAAGTTCATGCTCTACGACCCATGGCAAATTGGATGTAGGGTTGTGCTGCTGTTACTTTTCATTTTGGGCGGATGGATTCAGTGTCTGAAGCTGCAGAGTTTCTTGCTGCAGGGTTCGGGATTCGGATTGCGGGTTGGCTTTTCAAGGGTGGTTTTGATTAGGTTTGTACGAAAGGGTTTTGTTCAATTTTGTAAAGGACTGTCGCGTTTATGTTCTGTCCACGGCCGCGAGCCTATCCATTAGAAGGTGCTGGATCAAGGCCATCAGGGCATCCAAGGATTCGTGAACCTTGATGTAGGGAACTAAGAGGGAAAGTTAAGACAGGGTGTGAAGGTTAAAGATTATGTGTAGGCACTGTAGACATGTGCATTAATGTGAACGGTGGGGCAAAGACTTCCCAATAAACCTGTAGATCCCTACACCCCATTATTCAGTCTTGTTGATATGGCTATGAAGGTCCAAAGGCTAATCGCTAGCTCCCTTTGGACAAGCAGGAAGGCTACAGCAAGGAAGTGGAGGAGGCCCCGAGTGAGAGCAAGTCTACGTTTCGGCCGCTTAGTGTTTATAGTATGTGGGGAGGCAGGCCCTACACCCCAAAAGGGCTGGCTTAGGTTTTCTTATTTGGGGGTTTCGGGGCTCAGAAACATGGGGGGGAGCACAGCACGAGATGTTGGGGCTTTCGGATTAGACATGGTTGAGCCACGATAATTGACCCGCCCACCCTTTTCTTGCGTACTGTAGTTGAGTTATGGTGACACCCTTTGGCACGCAGGGCTCGTTATCAGGGGGCCTTCGATAGCCTGTAAACAAAGGCTACCAAGTCGAGCCCTAGACCTTTTCGGCCCCAAGAACCTGAGTCGTAACGTGTTTACTTGGGAGCTTGCCAGCCGTCCCTGCCAGCCACAAACAACCATTCCAACGGCGAGCGGTGCGAATCCGACCAGCACGGCAATGTTCGGGTTGTAGTGGTGGGGATGTCCCTCTGAGCCCGCCTACAGTGGCCCAGATATTTACCAACACTATTTTGGGGCTCCTTCTTAAGATGAAAGCATAATGTAGTCTCATATACCTTCCCCCAAACCTCATTTTTACGTAGTGCGCGAGATTCAACCCTAAACCCTCAATCCATACCCAGTGGGTTCAAGAAGAATACTTCGAGGCCCAGGACCTTGCAACCCTAAGTATGCAGGATACGGTTGATGAGAGAAATCCTGCATTACCCAGAATGATCATGAGGAACTTTTTTGTCTAAACCCTAAACACTAAACCTTAAACCCTAAACCCCTAAACCCTAAACCAATATTCCAATAGTTTAGAGTTCTTAAGGTAATGCAGGGTTTATAACATCAACTGTCTTTCTTGGTCATGAGTTGGGGTGACATATAAGGTCTAATATACCCACACTATTCGCTGCAGAAGGTGTTCCTGTATGCCGAGGCCCAAGTCTCTCGTGGTTGTTATCTCGCATACGTCCGCATACCCTATCTCAAGTCCCCTGATCCTTCCGGAACACACGTCTTGAAATCAGTTTAGCAGTTGCCACCATCTGTTTGAGTGCAGATGCGCTCGGCACTCATCAAGTTCCACGATGCGACTTGGCTTGTTTCTCATGGATCTACAGGTTTTTTGGTGCAGGACCTATGGGTTTATAGGGGCTTCGGGTTTAGTGTTTAGGGTTTAGCCTTTGCAGTCTTGCAATTCGTGCAATCCTGTTTTATGTGCACATGGGAGTTTCCGGAAATTAACGGGTGCCTTCTTTTTGGGTCCCTCTGAGCCTTGTCTCAAGTACTGCTAAGTACTTGTAAGCAATCTTCCATCATCCGTATCTTATCTGTGCGGATCAGATGACCTGGCAGCACCCTTAACCTTCTGTCGGTGGTTTCGAATGAGGCTTGACTTTTTACATCAAAGGACAAAAGTTTTTGCGCCGCTTCCACCCACATGGCATATATGTCGGCTATAGTATGGGTGGCTAAACCCTAAACCCTAAACCGTATGATAACTCTAAACCCTAGCCCTGACAACCCCAAACCCTAAACCTGACAACCCTAAACCTTGTAGCCCTAAACCCTAAACCTGATAACCCTAAACCTTATAACCCCAGGCCCAAGACCCGCTTGTTTGATTGCATGGGGTTTCAGACAGAGAGCCGCGGTTACACTGTCACATCCCACACCCGAAGCTCTTCAACGAACTGGAGCCGGTTTTGTTGGTCGGAAGTGGTATTACTGAAGCGCATATCCCCGAACGACACTTAAACCCTAGAACCTGCCATAGTATAACATATCATAGTACAGTGCAGTATAATGTCAGAGCCCTTAATCCTGGAGCCCCACTCAAACCCCAGAATCTAGACAGAAGCCTTACTCAAAGGATCATGGGACTTAGTAACTAGGGTTATAATTTAGTCATAATTAGGGTAACTATACTTACAACTACTTATAACCCCAATTAAGGTACTCATAACCTTACTTACTAAGTCCCCTGATTCTCCAAGTAAGCTAACCCAAAAATCACAGCCAGCCGGGCCCTCAGTCTAATGCACCAAAATCCTAAACTCCAAACTCCCAAATCCTACACCCTAAACTCTACCTTAACCCTGAAGAACCTACCTTTTTAGGGCTCCCTGTTATGCTTTCTTTATATACGTCCTTGAAAAGGTAGGAGATTCAGGGTTAAGGTAAACCCTAAACTCCCAAACCCTAAATCCTAAAGTCCTAAACCTTCCAAACCCTAAACTCTGTACTCCTTAACCCTGAAGAACCTACCTTTTTACGGCTCCAGGGTTAAGGCGAACCCAGGCTTCCAAAACAAGTCCACCCCAAGCCAAAAATTCAAGGAGACCAAGCCGACTTTGCCCAGCTCAGTGGCCGCAGATCTCTCGAAGCAGGTGCCAGGATCCTCTAAAAGAAATTTTGGGGAAGGAGGAGGGTTTAGGATTAGGGCTTGAGGTTCAGAGTTTAGGGTTTCGGAAGTTTAGAGTTTGGGGTTTAGGATTTATTTATGAAGGTCTACGATTTAGCGTGAGGGATTCAGGGTGTTGGGTTTAGCGGGGCTCTCTTAGTTGTGACCCACGTTATCAAGTTAGGAAGGATCCACATCAGGGTCCTTATTGCAACAGTGTCGACTGTTTTGGCTACCTGTTGTAAATCGTTGCTGCATGCACACCATCCATGAACACGTCTTCTCAAAGCCCGCAGCCCGAACCTCATGTAGAGGGGCAAACCTCAGAACTCAGAACACGTGTTGCAGACCCCGCGCCCGAGGTCCTAAACCCCCAAGCCGTACACCCTAAATGGGCGGTTGTCAAATTCATGGTCCTTTTTGGGTCCCTATTATAATACGGCACCTCTTGTTTAGGGTACCCAAAAAGGGACCCTAATTTTGACAACCACCCAAATGATCCCGATGTTCAGTCCCATCGATTAAACCTAGACCTCGTCAAGCCCTGGAATCGCCGAGGGGAAGTGCTGGAGTTTGTGTTCAGGGTTTTGGGTTTTAGGGTTTGGGGTTTCAGGTTTAGGGTTTCGGGTTTTAGGGTTTTGGGTTTGGGCTTTAAGGTTTAGGCTTTTGGGTTTCAGGGTTTTGGGTCTGGGGTTTAAGGTTTAGGCTTTTGGGTTTAGGGTTTAAGGTTTGAACTTCTCATAAGGGTAGTTCTTTCAATTGGGGACCCTTCTTAGATCCCGATTATAGTACGGCACCCCTATAACCCTATACAAAGGACCCGAAAAAGGGACCGTAGTTTTTCCATTAAAGCACACCCAACCCTAAACCCCAAAACCCTAAACCCTGAAACCCTAAACAGTGGAAAGCTTTCACCAGGTCAAGCGGATCGACTCGACAGAGGCCATGGGCATCCCGGACGAGTCGCGGGAGTGGTTTGTCTTCCACATGATGAAGCAGGCCCGGTTTAGGGCTTTAAGGTAGAAGCCAGAAAGTTGGAATATGATTATCCTAACCCTTCTATGGTAAATTATAGGGTATCCTACCCTGAAACCATATTCCAACTTTCTGGAGTTCCCTTTAGGGGTTTAAGAGGCTTAGGGCTTAGGGTTGAGGCTTTCGGACTTATGGTTTAGGGTCTTCCACATGATGCCGCGGGCAGTGTCGGGTTAAGAGTCCACATAAAGGTTCTATATGAAGTATTTGGGATTTGTGGTTTTAGGTTGTCAGATGTGAAGCAGGCACCATTGACCCCGGTTTTGGGTGCCGAGGGTCTCCTTCATGGGTCTACGAGAGAGCGTTACGAGTATGAAGCTTGGGTCGGATAACTTGAGGGGTTCGAGTTTTGGAATGCCTTCAGAGATTTGTGTTTCCGTATGTTGCGGATCGGGCCCACAGAGTTTGTGTATGACGAGGCATTTGCAGTTGTTCCGCTAGTTGGTGTCCAGGGTCTGAAGTTGCTTGGCTACTGTCAGGTTGACGGGCTTACGGATCCTCGCATGCAAGGCTGTATGACTTTGGGGCTACACTAAACCGCGAAGAGTCGATATAGGTTGGCTGAAATTTGGGTCTTAAGTGCTGCAGACGTTTGGGCTCACACACACGATCCTACAGCCCCTACTGTACTTTTGGGAACTTTGATCCCAAAGCACCGCGAAGTAAGGTTAGGTGAAGGAGAAAAGGTGGATTGAGACAGGGTCGGTTCTGGGAATGGGAACCCTGACTCCAACCTAAAACCCTAACTGCGAACTCTAAGTCCCATCACGAAGACCCTAGGTAGCATTAGGGAGACCCCTTAAATGGGGACGCTTCTTCACCCTACTTCTGGCTCCTTGAAAGGGGACCTTATCGAGAGTGTCTATATCCCCAAGGGTCCCTCTAATCTTAAAGTCTAAACCTAAATCCTAAAGCCTACTCCTAACCCCCAAAAGATGGCCCGGCAGGCTGAGAAGAACAACGTCAACATGGCGACTTGGATTTAGGGCTTTAGAGTTTAGGGTTTTGGGCTCTGAGGGTCAAGAGATTTTGCCAAAATGTCAGGCTTTAGGAGGGTGATAGGGTCGTTTTCCTACAAGGGCTTTCAGCGCCGTGCTCGAAGCATGTTGGGGTTAACCGTGTGCGTTAGGGGGTTACACAAGTACGGTTCCCACTTGGGGTTTCAGTTAACCCTAGGGTCCAAGTGCCTAATCATCATATACTCTCCCAGAGACACTAACATACAAAGCTATTATCCGACACCAAATGCCTAATTTTTGGGTCCTTTGGGCCCTTACCCTAAGGCTCAAAATAGCCCCGAAGCCTTCTGGCCCCCCCTGAAGCCTTAAAATATGAGTCCTTAGAAAGCTTAGGCTTAGGGTACGTAAGGTACTGCTAGCTTGGGTACTGCCGCCACCCAGTAACAGTTAGATATAATAATAATAATAATAATAATAGTAGTAGTAATAATAATAATAGTAGTAGTAATAATAATAATAGTAATAATAATAATAATACTAATAATAATAATAATAATAGTAATAATAATAATAGTAATAATAAAATAATAATAGTAATAGTAATAAAAATTTTAATAATAATAATAATAGTAGTAATAATAATAATGATAATGATAATAATGTATGTATATATATATATACACATATACATATGTATATGTATAAGGCCCTTAATAGTAGCCGGCTCATAGTGAGGCTTTAGGGTTTAGGGTCTAGGGTTACTGCTCTTAGGAATTATCTTTGATTTTTCTTATAAGGTAACTTAGAGGGATTAATAAGAATAGTACTTTAATTCTGGTCCTAAGGGCGGCAAAGATCAAGTTAGAGCTCGTGGCTTGGATCGTGGTTGGACCATTTGGGGGACCTAAACAGGGCTCTAATTTAGAGAACTACCCGCATGATTGAACAATTAGGCTTTATGATCTTCTTATCCGAACCACCAAGGACATGAAGTATAACACGACCACGAGAAGAAAAACGAAGGACACAGTTGTAGCCGCAGTCATCATAAAGGCCGAGACAGCACTGCTGAAACGAAGAAGCAACTCGCATTTCGCCGCTGGCTTCGCTGGTGAAGGGTTTAGCATGTTGCGCAAGGAAACGGTCAACCTATGAATGTGCAATATGCTCTAGAGGGTTTTATATTGCCCTGCTTTCCCAGTATACTTATGCCAATTGAAACCCTTCCCCCAAACAAACACAATAAAAGACCCTGCGCCCAAAAGCATTACGGTGACTCAGGCGAAGGTGCTGGACAACTTCGAGAAGAAGCTTGAGTTTCTCGCGAAGAACGACCAGCAGGAATGCTCCTTGAGCAGAACTGGTCCTATTAGTCTGAACCCCGATTTTCAGGACTATGGAGTCCAAATATGTCTTGTCCTTAATTCGCTCTCTTCTTTGCCGGAGAACTTGTGCAGTCTGACCAATTACCAATACGATTCCGTAGGGTTCCTTGCAATAAATGTAGTACGGAAACTACTCCAAACCCTTTTTCTAAGTACCAAGGCTTTGAAGGCTCCTTATCATGAATGTAGTATCAAATCCTCGAAACCCTGCTCGAATCACTAAGGCCGGTTTTCGGGACACGGTTTTCCCCAAGTCCCCTACAATCCCTACTTGGATACAGCCGCGCCTTGCTTCTACAGATCGAGCCACGAGCCCGATCAGCCTGAAGCCTAACCCCAGACCTCTTAAAGGAATTCATGGGCCCTTAAGGGATTTTGGGGTTTAGGGTTTAAGGTCTCCTCTTCTAGGACTCCTTTAGCGGCATCCTGTAAAGGAGCACCTCAAGGAACCCGTAAGGGATTTTGCGCGTAGAATTTCTTAGAAAGGCATCCTACCGTCTTACCGTTGTGTGGATTAAGAAAGCCTTGTTCAAGGGTCCTGGGACCCGGCCAGGAGGGTTTAGGGTGAGGGAGACCAATACCCAACAGGCAGCACCTTGCACAATATGCTCCGTAAAACAGCATAGTACTGGTAGTAGTTTTTGCCAGCCGGCTGACACGCCGCCCGGACGCCTTTTTGGGGTCTGTTTTCGTTGTTGCTGTTTCGGTCCTTTGGTCTGCAACGTGCGCTTTCCTCAAGTTTTGAAGTTCGTTCTCTGGTTTTGTGTTTCGTTCTTGCCTTTGGTTTTTGTAGTAGGAGTGGTAGTCGTATACGTTTGTCGTGTTCGTTGTTGCTGTTGTTGCTGCTGGCTTTTGTTGCTGTAGTTTATGTTGTAGTATTTAAGAGGTGGTTGTAGGAGAAGTAGCGGTGGTTAGTTTGGCCTTACGGCTTTCCTTTGTTGGATTTGGGGTTTACGGTTTGCTGTGCACAGTTCAACATTTTTAGAGTTTGTTTACTTGACATCAGTTTGCATGCCAGGCAAGGCATAGGATTGTCCATGCCGTTTCCACAGCACACTTTGGATGGGTAGGATTAGGACCTACTCCTCATGCTGTGATCAGCATTTGGCCAAGATGTTGCAAATCAGGATGCTCTCCGGCGAAGCTGTGACGAGCATACCTGTGAACGATAAGATTCGCGATGTCAGGGGCGTGAAGCAGCACCTGAGTCGGCAGCATGGCTTGCCTCCGCGATTTAGGCAGCGGGTCCTCCTTCGTGGCGAGATTGTGGATGATTCTGTCATTCTGGACTCCTGGATGGACCTGTCTGTCGTTTCTTCCCTCTTGTTGAAGAATATGTTTTTAGTTCGATGGGTTTGTAAGCACTAACACAAAACCACAGTGATATGATTGATGATTTCCCCAGCAATACCTCAGTAATACCTTGGCTAACCGCCTTCTTCAGGCCTCGTGAACCTTATGCAACCTTCAAAGCCCTATAAACCCTTAAAACCTTCAATACCAAGGTGTTATCGGCCTTTGCTGATGTTTCGCCAAGTCAGGTGGACGAGTTGGCAGCTGCGGCTGGTCGCGGCTCTGTGGCCGAGGTGCTGGGGTTTCGGGGCGTGAATACTTGTTGCAATGGCATCTTATAGACCTTAAACAATATACGATCAGGACCCCAAACTTACCCTGTCCTTAATTGTTCGAAATATGAAGGCGGCTATTGCTATACATGAGGTGTAGGTTTCGCCGATATCATCTACTACTACTAGTACTACTAGTACTACTACTACTACTACTACTACTACTACTACTACTACTACTACTACTACTACTACTACTACTACTACTACTACTACTACTACTACTACTACTACTACTACTACTACCACTACCACTACCACTACCACTACCACTACCGCTACTGCTACTGCTACTGCTACTACTACTACTACTACTACTACTACTACTACTACTACTACTACTACTACTACTACTACTACTACTACTACTAACTACTACTACACTGTTACAGCACCTTGAACGCCCTGCAGGTGGAGGCCATGCTGCAGCGGCCGCAAGATCCAGACCTGCTTCATTCGGACGGTCGTGCACCTCTGCACATGGCATGTGTTGATGGTCACTTGCAGGTTGCATTGTTGTTGCTGGAGGCCGGCGCGGACATAGATGCGGCGAACCTCCAAGGCGGAACAGCTTTGATGATGGCATCCTATGGAGGTCACATCGAAGTCGTGCGCTTGCTGCTGCGGGACGGTGCCGCCAAGGACGTGGCAAGTCACGAGGGCTACACAGCCTTGATGATGGCATCTCAGCGCGGTCATGCTGAAGTCGTGCGCATACTGCTGGAGGCCGGTGCCGACAAGGATGTGGCCAACACAGACGGTAGAACAGCTCTGATGCTGGCATCTTCCGCAGGTCGTGTCGAATCCGTACGCTTGATGCTTGAGGCGGGCGCGGACTTGAATCTTCGAGACAGAAGCGGTGACACAGCCTGGTTTATGGCAAGTCGCAGAAAGCAAACCGAAGTCATGTCCCTGCTGATCGGATCCAGCGGCCAGCTACTAGTAACCAGACGACGGCGTCGACGCAGCCTTGTTGGTGGCATCTGAGAGGATGCAGATTTCAGCAAGGTGAAGTCTCGTCGAAGTCGAGCTTTTGTTAGGTTTCGAAGGCATGCATGAGGAGCCAATTTTGCTTTCTCTGTATTCCGATTTATGAGTGTTTTGCATCATTGGAAAAGATTCAGCTGCCGAAAATTGTTGCGTGGGCTCTGCATTGTTCGGAATACTACACCCTGCAGTGGTCCTTCAACCCAACAGCCACTTGCATCTCTGAGCCTTAGGATGCAAACCCTAAACCCTAAACCCTAAACCCTTAAACCCCTAAACCCTAAACCCTAAACCTGGTAGGCTTGTTCTTAGGGTGCTGGGTTTTTGTTGGGGCTTCAGGGCTCCAGTATTCAGGGCTTCAGCATACTGCTGATGGACAAAATCCTGCATCACCCATTACCCTAAGGGTCCATGTACCCGAATAGTATATACTGTGGGCCCAATGTGCCTATATAGGGCCTACATTAAGGCCAATGTATATACTATTTGGGCACATGGACCCTTAGGGTTATAAGGAATATACCATAGTTCCCATAGCTTAGAGTCCTTAGGGTCATGCAGGATTTTGTCCATCAGCAGTATTAAACACAGGGCTTAAGGGACCTTACGATGTCAAACAAATCCAACATCACAGCGGATCGAGGATCGCATGCCCTTTTACGGATCCAAGATATGGAAAGCTTCAGAAAAAGAACTCTGTCTTAACCCGTGGCATGGCCGAATACCTTCATGGAGGCAAGTAGTTTTGCGTCATTTAAGGTGCGATGAAAGAGCTCCCATAAACCAGAAACCCTAAGGCCCTCCTTGGCAAATCCAGGGAACCTTTTGAGCACACTCAAACCCCAGACCCAAAACTCCACTATAGTGGCCTAAATAATTACATATACTATTTTGAGGGTTCCTTATTATAATTATAGTATAATGGGCCCCAAACCCTTACTCTAGTTGTTAGGGCCCTTATATTGACTCTAGGGGACTTCTCACTCCGACTCAAGAAAGATTCGGGCTTCGGGGGTAACCCTGAAGACCTTTTTGAAGCCCTTACCCCTAGGGTCCAAGTACCTAATAACGATATACATCCTAAAACCGAGTACCTCATCATTGGGTCCTTTGGACCCTTTCGGTTTCGTAGCGACTCAGTTCCCAGGACTTGGAGATGTTGACTTTGGTTTTGGGTTTAGGGTCTATAGGGGCTCTTTACCCGCGAACCTCAACTTCAAGCCCTACCTTAGCCCTCAACAATCTCTTAGGGCTCCTGATCATGCTTTCCTTATGCAAGTCCTTAGAAAAGTAGGTGCTTCAGGGTTCAAGTAGCTCTTTGAAGCCACTGGTAATGAGGCCCGGTGTGCTTGGACAAGTTCACCGAGTCTGGCCCACAGGCGCTATTTGAATTCTTGTCAGCATCAAGCTCTACCGTATCAGCGGGTTTGTGAGCCTTACGGAGTAACACTCACTACGAAGAAAAGGACGGTGTATCCTGGTGAGGGTTGGTTTACGGGTTTAGGGTGGGGTGGGAGAGAAGTTAAGCTGCAAATAATCTACCTCATCGGATTTCTTGACACTGCGAGGTGTATCCCTTGTCGCTGTTTCCTCCGTGCCACTTTCCGAAGCATCATGTCAGGGCTTCGAGGGTATGGCTATGGATCACGGTCTAGGTCTTCAAGGTTCGTGGGTGGCTGTTCATCTAGCTGAATCTAGCTGTTAGTACTTCAGTCGGCGTTTCGTAGCTCGAAGTGCGTGTACCCTGATTGGTTTGTTACAGGGACCTACTAAATCCGCTGATGCTTCCAGCACTTTCCCTTCGGGTCAGCCCGAAAACAAGCAAACCTGCAAAACCCTATATATAAATAAGCAAGTAAATATATATATATATATATATATATATACACCTCAAATCTCGTACTAAACTCCGAACCACATACAAATCCTAAACGCTGCACTTACCCTAAACCCAAAGCCCTGAATCTGTTCTTAATTACAAAGTTCCATGTATCCCAAACCCGAGTCTGCCTGTAATCCCAACAAGACGGGTTTACAGTAGAAGCCAGAAAGTTGGAAAATCATTATCGTAACCCTTTTCAGGTAAATGATAGGGGATCCTACCATTAATCCATATTCCAACTTTCTGGAGTTCCCTTTAGGTCATTTCATCTCAAGGGTTCCTAAAAGGGTGCTTTGAGGTTTCCTTTCAGGGTTAGGATAAGGTTTCTTTGGGGGTTCGTTTAAGGCTGTAAGGGTTACTTTGAAGCTTTTTTTGGTGGGGGACTGTCAGGGTCCAGGAAGGATTCGGTTTAAGTGTTAGTGTGGAGGGTTTCAGTAGTTTAGGGTCTTCGTTCGCCAACCTCCTAACGACGGCGACCAACCGCTTGAGTGTTTTTGCCCAAACCACTGAGCAACAGTTCAAAAATCAACCTAGGGCTCACAGAGTGTAGCGTTAGGCCCCATAAATCTTAGCCACACACCCCCAGACCCTAAAATCCGTTAACCCTTACTTAAACCCTAAAATCCCACACCCCCAAACACCTCCACCTGAAAGCTCACCCAGGACAGTACACAACCCTGCAACCCTGGGCCTGGACACAGAACTCCTTCTACAGTAGAAGCCAGAAAGGAACCCCTAAAGATCCCTTAAAGGAACCCCGTAGTATAGTACCCTATCCTAAACCCTATTGCCTACTCAGCTACTATACTAGAAGCCAGAAAGTTGGAACATGGATTTAGGAGGATATCAGTGCTAGGATCCCGTAAACTTTACCTAAAGGGCATGAGGATAATCCCCTAAACCCTAAACCCTAAAAAACCCAAATCATGTAACTTTCTGGCTTCTACGATACTTAGGCCTTAAAGTGCCTAAATAGGGATCCCTTTAAGGCCTAAGTATTTACTGTATGGGTACATGGAGCCTTAACCCTAAACTAAACTCAATAGAACTCTCATAGAACTCTTACAGAACCCCTTATGGTTCCCTTTAAAGGAACCCTTAAGGGTACATGGAGCCTTAGGGTTAGTGTTCAGACAGCTTTACGTTTTCTTTGTCACGAAGCTCCGGGAGGCACCAGAAACCTTGGGGTGCTGCCACAAGGCACGAGAACGGTTTAGGGCTTAGGGTTTAGGGTTTAGGGTTTCGGGTTTAGGGATTAGGGTTTAGGGCTTAGGGTTTAGGGGGCTATCACAACGGCATGCTACAGCGTGGATAGCGGTTTCTGCAGTTTTAGATTTAGGGGACGTATAACTCCACACCTACTCATGAACCTCCAGGTACGCTGTAGTCGTTGTCCTTCGCAGTGTCTCTGACCTTGCTCGCCAAGCAGCAGTGTCAAGTTCGGATGAATATGAGATATCCACATACTTCTTCCAATCTCAGCAGCCAAAGTTCCTACGAAGGCATTGTCTTGGTCAGTGGCTTGTGACAGTTCAGTGCTGTCTTGGTGGGAGTTGTGCAATCAGGGCGCCAACCCTCAGCAAGGACTTATTTGGGGTCGGAAGGTTTTGGAGAGTTTATGTATGTGAGTGGAGAGTTTGGCTGGGAGTTGGTCTAGCCCTAAACTCCAAAGCCATCCAAACTGTCCGAAAACCTTAAAACCATCGAACACCTTAAAACCCAAATCCCAAGCCCTCAACCCGGGGGACAGGTTCGTAGGGTTTAGGGTTCAGGGTTTAGGGTTTACCTTTTTAGGCATGCAAATCAGGGTCTGACAGGCGGCCTCCGTACCCAGAGACTCCAGTGCCCTTGAACTAAGGAATTTGCCTAAAGTGGTTTGGGGGTTTCGGGTGTGCTTAAAGGATCATGGGACTTAGTAACTACAGGTTATAATGAGAGTAACTATACTTACAACTACTTATAATCGGGGTTAAGGTACTTATAAGCTTACCTACTAAGTCCCATGATCCTCCAAGTGAGAGGGAGTCCGAGGATTTAAGGTTTAGCAGCTTTGGAAGAAGATTGCTCAGTTCAAGGTAGTATCTTTTTTTCATGAGGGGTTTGGAGTCCTTGATGGCCAAAGGCAGAGGCTTTGGCCTTACAGGTCAGACCGCTTAACACAGCCTGGTTGAACCTAGCTAGGATCTAGAACGCGACAAACCTCCTGAGCCACGAACCCGAAGCTCTATAGTTTCACTGAACCCTAAGCCCAAAGCCCTGAAGGTAGCCCCAAACCTAGTCCCCCTGACTACCCTCGGATATACCCGTTGGGGGGTCCTGGTATAGATCCTACACCCCACAGACCCTTTAAAGCAACCTCCTTATAGATCTTTTTCAGGAGCCCCTTGTAGGGTTTTGAAAAGTCTACGCGAACCCGTGTCTGAGTTTACGAAAATTCGGGATACCTTTCTTTGTGGTCATGATAATAAGAACCTTCCCCTTGAGGGTACCCTATTAGGGTCCCTGTTTTCTGGAAACTCCCAGCCCTAAACCTAAACCCTTAACAGAATCCTTACTTGAACCCTTAAAGGGTCCCCTATGTTCGGAATCTCCCGCTAATTATTAAGGACCCTATATTATAGAACCCTACTATGGATCCCTTATAGAGCCCTTTACGGACACCTTTAAAACGAAACCCTATTCCAAACCTTAAACCCTAAACCCCAAACAATAAAACCCAAAACTCTAAACCCTAAAACCCCAAACCCTAAACCCAAACCCTAAACCCTAAAACCCCTAAAACCCCTAAACCCCTAAAACCCCTAACCCTAAACAACCTAAACTCCCGTGTCTGCAGAGGTGTGCAAGGAGTGCTGGGAGCCCCACAGCTGACCATACTTAAAGGATCATGGGACGTAGTAGCTGGGGTTCCTTAAAGGGCTCCTTAAAAGGGATCTATAGGGGTTCTACAAGGGATCTATAGGGTCTACTTAAAGGACCATGGGACGTAGTAGCTGGGGTTCCTTAAAGGGCTCCTTAAAAGGGATCTATAGGGCTTCTACAAGGGATCTATAGGGCCTACTTAAAGGACCATGGGACGTAGTAGCTGGGGTTTAGGGTTCCTTTAAAGGGATCTTTATAGGGGTTCCTGAAAGGGATCCATGGGCTTTAGGCTTTAGGGACTACTTAAAGGATCATGGGACGTAGTAGCTGGGGTTATATTACGGTAACTATACATATAAATACTGATAAACCTAAATAGAGTACTTCTAACTGCACCTACTAAGTCCCATGATCCTCCAAGTAGCCGACCTGCTTGGGAAACCAGGGTTTCGGGTTGCTAAGATTCTAAAGGGATCTATAAGGGCTTAGGGTCCAGGGGTCTAAACCAGGGTTTAGGGTTTGAGGTTTATTTAGGGCTTCGGCTTGAGGCGTGTAGGGTCCAGGGTTGATGTGTTTATAGGTAATTATACATAGAAGCCACTAAAGTTGTAACATTTGTATCCTCATGCCCTTAAGGTAAAGTGAAAGTGATCCTAGCGCCACTCATCCTAAACCCGTGTTCCAACTTTCTAGAGCTCGGTGCAGGGTTTGGAGTTCAGGGTCTACTATATAGAGGGGCCAAGGCTTTGTCCCAGGATTGTTCAGAGAGGATTGGTTTCTGGAGTTCAGTGGTGGGGTTTTGAGGGCCCAGGACTTCGGTGTTCAGCAGTTGGTGCTTTCAGGATTCACGGTTTGAGGGCTTTTAGGAGTTTACCGATTGGGGCCTGTTAAAATTTATTTATACAGATCCTTAAAACCTTATATAAGCATATACGTACGTACTTTTACATATATATATATATATATATATACTATATATATATATATGTATATATATATATATAATACATAGATATACATATGTTTACAGGAGGGATTCGGTGATCTCAGATTGGGGATCCTTTGGGTCCGATGGGTGGAAATTCCAAAACGATTGGATTGACCAGGACCCTGAAGGATCTATAGAGGGTTCTATAAGGGGCCTATAGAGGGTTCTATAAGGGACCTATAGAGGGATCTATAAGGGACCTATAGAGGGTTCTATAAGGGACCTATAGAGGGTTCTATAAGGGGCCTATAGAGGGTTCTATAAGGGGCCTATAGAGGGTTCTATAAGGGACCTATAGAGGGTTCTATAAGGGACCTATAGAGGGATCTATAGGGGGGTTCTATAAGGGATCTATAGAGGGTTCTATAAGGGATCTTATAGGGATCTATAGGGGGGTTCTATGAAGGATCTATAAGGGGTCCTTTAAAGGGATGTATAGGGGTAGGGGTCTTTAGGGTTTCAGGGTCGTAGCCAGGACCCCCCATTGGCCCTTTAATGGAGCCCTTCGTGGTCCTTAATAGTGGGTATTTGAAATTTAGGGTGTGTATATATTTATACATATAAATATATATACATATTTCCAGAAATACCAAAACTATTGTTGGGTCCTCAAGGGGTCTAGCGCCCCAACTCTGAGGTCCTTGGAAGCACAGTGTTTTAGTTGAGGGTCTAGGGTTGAGTTATTGTATCGTTTGCTGTTTGGATTTCGATTCCCTCTTCACCCCTGGGGCTCGGACTCATATATTCAGACTTTTGGGCCCAAAGACCATAATATACAAGGCTTTTGTGCTATTTTGATTCCCAGGGTTCTCTGATGCTATTGAGAAGCATTGTCTGGTCAAGGCTTTTGTAGTGGAGTGGAAAGCAAGGTTTGGTTCGTGCCGTCGAGATTTTGTTTGCTGGGACGTATTTGGCTTTCTGCAGTAGAAGGATCAGGGCCGGCAGCGTCTTTTGGTTTTAAAGTTTCAGGTGGGTTTTGTGGACGATCTGCCGCTAAGCCATCCGTGAACAACCAACGTTTGCGCAACACCCGAGCCGATCTTTCACAAGTCTTAGTCGGTTTAAATGGCGAAGCATACGGTGTCTTGTAAATGAAATTCAATACAAAACGCCTGAATAACAAATCATGCCATTTCTTAGCGCTCCCAAGCCCTTAATTATTCTAATTATCAAAGCTTTCTATTACATCCTCTATAACCCGAGCTCTGCTGACGAAGTCTCGAAGGTGGATGGCTGAACGCCGCCCATCACATGACATGTTTTGGATTGCGCGGCAACGAGGACTCTCGTGTAGTTGCGGAAGCCGCGTTCTGCCTCGGCAAGGTGATGAGATGAGTCCCACAGAGCCTGTTTGCGCCTTCTTATGTCCATATGGGAGTTTCCGAAAATAGGGGACCCTAATCTAGTACCTGAAATCGTAGGATCCTTATTATGAGGACCCCAAAATAAGGTCTCCCATATTCCGGTTTTGCACCGTATCGGTCGGTCCGATTTGCATTCCTTCGGCTGAAGATTGCATTGGCCGGTTGTTTTGGAGGAGATGGTTCTGTTGCGAGCGGACCTGACTTACAGTCTTACATCTATGGGGCAGCAAAGTTGGACGGAGGCTTCCAACAAAGACCGTTGTTTGCGAAAGTTCGTTTTATCATGACGGCACGTTATCGCCAATTTTCAGCTAGATGACAATGTTGCCAAAATCTGGGCTCTTATCTATCCAATGGAGCTTGCACTGAAGTTGTGTAAGTTCCGTTCTCGAACACATCGGCATTGAGGGAAGAGAAGCCGTGAACTTTCACTACTACGTCTTCTGTTGTCCTTCAAGAAAACTTGAGCACTGCGGCCGTGCATTCTACCCATGACGAGTGATCCGTTCTTTAGCCTGGCCTGAATTACGGTTAACCCGGAAAGTCTGTACAATACAAGCTTTCTGTGGTAACAGAATCAACCACCGTTCTTTATACATCGACTAGTGGTAAGTACTACTTAAAGGGATCATGGGACGTAGTAGACAAGTTATACGCAAAATATCTATATGTGCAACTACTACCTCAATTAAGGTGAATGATAGTCACCTTACCTGCGACGTCCTATGATCCTCCAAGAAAGGGCTGGATGTACACAGGCACGACATGGCATATGGAAGAGTTATCTGGGTTGAGAGAGGTCTTGTAAAACTGCCGTAGAGCTTTGGTTAAGGGTTATGTGGATAAATGGGTACGCCGAAACGGACAAGTCCACGTATCAGCTTTATACACAGAGGCAGCGCCAATGCAAACGCCACATCTAACGCCGCCAAACTACCTTACCACCTTCATTCCCCAACACTCTGAGCCCCAATACCAGAGAGTCGAATGCCCCGTCGTCTAGGAACCTTCCTTCAATCATCGAGGACTTCTTATTGAGACTGCAGAATACCACACCCTGAACCCCAAACCCTGCGCGGCATTGGGCTCCCTCGGCCGATCTCCGAAGCTTGCCGAGGAGCTGGACGGCCGTGACACGTGGAAGTCCATTCTGCCCTCTTTGCCGACACAACGATTTCCTAGGCATCCCGGGTTTAGTGGTTGAGCGTTGGGGGTGTAATATAGAAGCCGCAATAATTCGATATGGTGTTGCGGCCCATTGTACTATAACCACAATAAGGAAACCCCAAAATAGTATTGGTAATTGTTAGGGCCCATATATTATAGTCCCCTTACAGATCCCTTATAGTAGCCCTTGTAGATCCCTTTAAAGGCCCGCATATAAGAGGGTTCAGGTTGCAGGCTTCCTAGGTTTAGCGGTTGAGAGTCTGGGGCTTTGGCTTCAAGGTTTAGGGGTTAGGATTTCGGGTTTCGGGGTCTCTATATGGGCTTTACTGGCTGGTCAGGGTTCAGGGCCGATTGCAGGTGCAAGGCGTCCGCCAGGCAGACTCGAGGTTGAATCATGTCAACACGGATAAGCCGAGCACGGGCAATAGCACCACAGCAAACACCACAATACGGACAAGCGCTGGTAATGTAGCGAGTGGAATTAAGACAAGATCGAAGCGCATGCACTTCAAGCGAAGTGCCAGTCACTCGTCGCAATCAGCACCAGCAGCGAGAGGACAGCTTGTAGTGGTAGTGAGAGTAATGGGCAACCATGAAATTGCCGGGAAGTGACAGAATTGGTAATAATCTTGGAAATATCAGGCTATAGTTCTGAATTGTAGAAGGACAAGCACAGTGTAGACGATAAGTCGTGATCACCAATGCTTATCTCTTAGGTCATGATCTTGACGATCTCGGCCACGGGAAGTCGAACAACGTACATGTGTGGTAGTGAAGACGGTAATGATGATGATGACATTGGTGATGACGATGATGATGTTGATGATGGTGATGTTACATGATGGCGACATTGATGATGCTGTCGGTGGTAGGGAACATGAAGAAGACGTCATCGCGACCGAATGGCGATGTTTGACTGCAACCGACATCAGAAAGACAGCTACAACATCCTTGATGCCACTGGCAGCCATAGCCTCACTACACCGAGCATCGCCGTATGGTCGATTGATACAGCGGATGACAATGCCAAGCGACCATGGGACTTGATGAACTTCTACAGTAGTTAGGGTGTTGTGAGTCTTTAGCGACATGTAAGCATGGAAGCCCCTTGTCCAAGCGAACAGAGCTGTAGCTTTTGAGCCAGGCCGCGTCGCGGCGCACCTGTCTGATGGCGAGATCCCGTGATCCTTGCAGATGTTTCTTTAAGCCACCTGCCTTTACGGCGCCGAGAACCGTTTATCGTTTATGGGCTGCGTTTAGATTCAGTAGCACTCTCGCTCGAGGTTTAAACAATATCGCTGTTCCAAAGGCATGTCTGCAAAGCAGCCATAAGGTAGGTTGACTTAGGGGTTGCGATCTTGTTATAAGTTTGTGAGGCAGTGTATTCCCAATGCTCCCTTAGAGCAAATTCCTGTTTGTAGAGTCAGTTCTGCATTGCCAAGTTTCTTTCCTTGCCTTGCCACGCCATGCGCTATAAGGACCCTTTACCATATTACGGTTGAGAAATTCTTTGTCATAGTTGGGTGACATTTTGCATTTCTATGGGTACTTAAACCCAATAGGGAATAGAAGATTACATTTTTAATCCTATCCCAACCATGAACTAGAATTAGCGTTGTAAGTTTAAGGCAGTGTAGGAAAATGGGGATCCGGGCTCGGTCTTATACTTACTTCACTCACTGCAGCCACAAGGTGTGTCCAGTGCGCTCTAGAATCGCAAGTTTGATGAACTTATTACCCCGGGGCATGATCTTTAGGAACTCCAGAAAGTTGGAATATGGTTTCATGGTAGGATACCCTATAATTTACCATAGAAGGGTTAGGATAATCATATTCCAACTTTCTGGCTTTTGCCTTATGACCTCTGAACATTTGTGGAAGACAGCGTTCCAATCAATTCCAGAGTCTTGCACTCTCTGGTTAATGTAGCCACTGGTTTGCCGTTTTCGCCCGTTTCCAGGTGGTAGCGAGTCGTTCTTCGAAATTGGTCTCTTGCACAAAGTGTACAGTCTTTGTCAAGTCAAGAGATCATCATTACCTCGAGACTGCTGTATGCCTTAGTTCAGGTTTCTCTACAAGGAACCCAAGCCTTAAACCGCAAAGCCAAAAGCCTAAACCCACGAATGTTACTGAAACCAAGCCCGTAAAACACTTAAATATTTAGGACACCTTAGACCCTAAACCCAAACCCTCAACGTTTAAGGAAACCTCAGTAAACCCTTAACCCTCAAGACCAAAGAAACCTTAAAACACACATTCTAAATACTGAGGAAACCGTATGGACCCTAAATCCCACACGGATAAGAACTAGCCGTCAAAGACCCATAATTAGGAGCATCGCTGAAAGAACGGGAGTTTTCTAGCCCAAGCCCAAATCCCTAAACCTCAACCCACAAAGCCCAACACGCTAAACTTTCGAGGTTGTCCCTTTGAAGGAACCTTAAATACCCCGGTAGGTTGCCCCTTTAAAGGAACCCCAAAACGCCCTAAGTTTCCTCTTTACAGGCCTACAAGTATTCCTTATTTGAGGCATCTTTGAGTCTCTCGCAACGTGCGCGGCTTTGGGGATTAAACGTGCTATGTTTTCGGTTTAGGGGCTTGAAAATGGGAGCAGGGTTTAGGGTTTTAGGGTTTAGGGTTCAGGGTTTGGGGTTTAGGGTTTAGGGGCTTGAAAATGGGAACAGGGTTCTATACAAGGATTCCTTCCAGACACCTTCACTTGTCAACCGCAAGTCCTAAACCTCAAACCCTTAGCCTTTTTCGGTCTAAGGGCTATTAATTTTAGGGGTCCAAGTACCTAATTATCATGTATTCTCCCAAATAGTAACCTACATAACTACTATCCTGAACCCAAATACCTGATTATTGGGTCCTTTGGACCCTTGGGGTGGCCCTTAGGCCCTTATAGAACCCCAAAAAGATCCCTTTAAAGGAACCCTTATTATAGCACCCTGAACCCTAAACCCTCCCTAAAGCCTTACCCTAGTATCTGATTGGGTAAGGTTTCGAGAAGCCGCAAGCTGGGCCTCATTGGGTCGCAGCAAGCAGTGGTCAGCGATGACCTGCAATGACTGATGCTTCTGATTCTCACGCGAGCCAGAGCAAAATGACCGAGAGTTTGGGTTCAGGGCTAAGGGGTTGTAGTGCAGGGTTCACGTACCCCAAACCCTAAACCCTAAACCCCTAAACCCGTCAACCCCTAAACCCTAAACCCCTAAATCCCTAAACCCTAAACCATAAATCCCTAAACCCCTAAACCCTAAACCCCTAAACCCTAGACGGTTGGGGGGCCTGAAGGGTGTGGAGTGCACTTTTAGTTTCTCAGAGCTCAACTTACATTCTTGTTTACGCTCGTTTTAGCTTGCTTGGAGGATCAGGGGGGTCGCTCCAAAAGCCGGATTTGATCCTGTAGACCTCTGTAGACCCAAAGCCCAAAACCTTAACCCCAAAGTCCTCATCCCTGACACCGCAAACACTGCGTCACTACGTAAAGCCCTTGAGCTGGTTGACACCCTAAAGCCCCAAAGCCGTAGAATCCCTGAGCCATCAAGCCCAAGAACCCTGAAGTGCCCCAAAAGGCCGAATAAGTTAGGGTTTAGGGTTTAGGGTTACCTGGACCCTAAGGAACCTAACCTTAGGGTTGCCTAATATGAGTTCTTTATATATGTCCTAGCTTACTTGGGGTTAAGGTAGCAGAAGCTTAGGCAATTGGAGCGGCGGGCGGCCGTTGAGTTGAGTAGGGCATCCCCAGAATGCTCTTCGGGCTCTTGGGAACTTGTTTATGCTCCTCCGCTCCCTGTTTTGTACGAGTGTTCTCTTGCGCAGGGATCTCCAGAACATGTGCTATTTTGCTCACCTCCACGTGTTTGCACGCGGTGTAAAGCTCGTGCTGCAGTTCTGTTTTGTTTCGGTCGGTAACCCGATGCGAGACAAGTACTGCTGCAGTTCCTGCTGCCACGGTTTACAGTTTCTCATGTATCATGTACTTAGTTTTGCTACAGCACGCCCCGGAGCCCTAGTCTATAAACAACGCATTAATCAACCCACACCCTAACCCCACACCCTTAAACCCTAGCCCTAACCCGAAACCTAAACCCCTTAAACCCCTGAACCCCAAAGCCCTCATCCCTAAAAACCCTAAAGCTCCCTTTGCAGGAACCATGTAAATCCCTTTCAAGGAACCCTAAAGATCCCCTTTAAAGGAGCCCTAGAGATCCCTTTAACGGAACCCTTTAGGATCCCTTTAAAGGAGCCCTAGGGCTCCATAGAGATCCCTTTAAAGGAGCCCCACAAATCCCTTTAAAGGAACCCTATATACAAAATGCCAAAGAGATCCCTTTAAAGGATCCCTTTAAAGGAGCCCTAGAGTCCTAGAGACCGCCGCTGCAGGCCGACTCCTGCTGGAGCTTTGATCCCTCAGCCGTGCCACTGGCAGACTCCCAGGGGCACTTAGAAATGATCTGCCTTTTTTCTGTGCTTTGTTTCAGGTGCTATATTGGCTGTCTGTGTGTTTTAAACTTTTGGTTCCTATAATCCCTAAGAAACAGCTAAACTCTGAATTGGTGGTTCCTTGTCTGCTTATTGTTTTAAGTTCTGGTTCCTAGAATGCTTGGGAAACAGCTAACATCAGAATTTTTGCTGAGATCAGTATAGGACTGGATCATGAAGCAGATGGAGGTGCACAAGGTGCCCCTGGGTTCCTTAAGGGGATGAATAGACTTGTACAGGGATCTATAAGGCGTTTAGGGTTTGAGGTTTAGGGCTTCGGGTTAGGGGTTTTGGGGGATGGAGGCACACAAGGTGCCCTGGGCTCCTTTAAGGGGATTACGAGTGTTCCGTTAAACGGGCTGTTTTAGAAGGGATCTCGAGGGTTTAGGGTTTAGGGGATGGAGGTGCGCAAGGCACCCACGGGTTCAGGAATTGTAAGGCCTGCAGCTTAAGAGTTTCGGGCTCCCCTGCATCCCTCCTCAACCTACCTTCTTAGGGTTCCTCGTTATGACTTCCTGATGTAATATGAAAGCTTCAATAATTAGAATAGGGTTGGGGGCTCCTTTGGAGTATAACTTTAGCAACAGCGCATAAGGAATAATATGGAATAGTGTTACTGGCAAGTATGTCGGAGTTTCCGAAAATAGGGGACCCTCAGATCGTCCCCTAAACAGTAGGATCCTTCATTTTCGGAAACTCCCATAGGGCTTCTACATCAAGCCCTTCATACTTCCATACTTCCCTCAAAACTTTTTCGGGGACTTCCGTAGTAGCAGGAACCTGCGCAGCTTTTAGGCCCGGTTTCAGGGAATCCTCTCGCTTCTAGGTTTAGCGGTTTAGGGATGTTTTTTGCATGATTTTCATGTTTAGGGCTTACCCTAAGGCTCCTCAGAGGGTGTTGGGCCTTCTGGGGGAGGGTTTCGGCTTTGGGGGCTAGGGTTAGGGACCTCGCTGCAAGGGTCCAGTCCAGGAGCCTTAGGGTATCGGGGCCATTTCCTTAGTTCATGTTGTAGGATTGGCCCCCAGCAACCGTAGGGTGTCAGATGTAGTTGCTGCCATATGGGCTCCGCCTGGGCTTCAATGATCCGAAAGGTTCAGCGCCGGCCTCCAAATGCAGCTGCACGACTCAAGCTGCAAGTATCAGCGGGGTAACGCCGAGACGGTCGCAAACGTGGGAAGCAATATCTCGGCGCATAAACCCATGGCTGCAATACAACTTTCAAAACAAGGCACTTTGGCAGGTCGCCCAAGCCTAGGGCATCCAACCCAAAGAAGCAGTGTCATCCCCCCAGATGCGGAAGCGAACCCTAAACCCTCAACCTCTTGAATGCTTTGAGTGCCCAGAGAGCCCAATAACCGTTAACTAAGGAATATGGCTTAACTCATAATATGAATCCCTACATAATTTAAGCCATATTCCTTAATTAAGGGGTATTGGGCTCTCTGGGTGGTAGCCGTGGTTCCACAAGCAGCTCTCCGGCAGCTTCGACTTCAGCGCGGGGGACACTTTGGTTCCGCCATGACTGACCAGAGAAACTGCTCGGCCTCAGGCACAATTCCGGGGTTCTTGTTAAGGAGTTTAGTTTTAGTTACCATAATGGGGATCGACTTAAAATATTAGGGTCTCCTTATCATGGTAACTTAAATTAAGTCCCTTAAGCCTGAACAAGAAGCTTGCTTTCGCGAAACGAGGCATTGCGGCAAGCAGTGAAAAGGACGGCTTTCTGCGCACTGACCGTGAACCCCAAAACACACTATGAAACCTTAAAGCTGATATGATAAAGAAACATAGTTCCCTCACCCTATGAGATTCCACAAAACCCCCCAAAGTCCAAAAGCCCATTAACACCCTGAGAGCCGTCCCTAAGAATCCCTTCGAAACCCTCTGCGAGCCCCCAAACGCCTCGTAATCCCCCAGAAGAGTCGGCCCAAAGGAACGCTAAACCTGCCCCGAAACCCTACCCCCCTCCCCCCCCCCCAAAAAAAAAAGCCTAAGCCCTGAAGGACCGTAAGGAACCTTTGAGAGAGCCCCAACCCGAAGCAAATCATGACGCGGAGCCCCCAGAAAGATAGGTTATTCAGGGTTCAGGTAAACCCTAAACCTATATGGTTTAGCGTTTGGGGGTTCGTGGTTTAGGGTTCAGGGTTTAGGGGTTTAGGTTTTCAAACAAGAAACTGGGCCCTTAAGATCCTTGAGAAACCCTTCGAGCCTCCCCCAAAGAAGGAGGACCACATAAACCCTAAACCCTAAACCCTAAAGATCTCAAAACCCCGAAACCCCTAAACCCCTGAACCCTAAACAACTAAACCCCTAAGCCCCTAAACCCCTAAACCCCTTAGACCCCTAAAGCCCTAAACCGCTAAACCCCCAAAGCAGGAGGAGGATCCGAGAGAAGCACTGCATCGGCTCAGCGATGAGGTCAACGACGAGCTGGGGCCAAAGTGAGCCCCCGGAAGCTTTTGAGTTAGGGATTTCGGGATCTTCAGAGTTTAGGGTTTAGGGCTTTCGGGACCTTCAGGGGTTCAGGATGTAAAGCTTCAGATGTCGGGCTTTGGGGCTTTCGGGTTTAGGGTTTGAGGCTGTTGGGTATAGGGCTTTAGGGTTTGGGGGTTTAGGGTGTTGCTGGTCTTTGTGTTGGTGCTGGTGTTTTCGTTTGTTCTTGAGGAATGTGGCTATGTTCTTTGTGCAGTTGTGCCTTTTGATTGTTGAAGTTATACAGAAAGTTGGTGTTATAATACGGTTTGTTGCGGGTCTCGCAAGGTGTTATACAGGCCCTTTTCCAGGTTGCTACATGGGTGGTTGTCAAAATTGTGGTCCCTTTTTGGGTCCCTAATATAGTACGGCACCTAACATTTAGGGTACCCAAAAAGGGGACCATAATTTTGAGAACCACCCACATGTTTTAGGTGTTGGGAGATAGTTTGTCGGGTCTAGGGTTGCTTAGCTAGGCTTTTACATCACGGCTGCATGTGGCAACGCCGTGCTTGGGGTTTTACATGGGGGGGCACTGGTTGGGGCTTGACCTCTCGCCGGCATACGGTTGATGATCTAAATCCTGCATTACCTTAAGGACCCTAAACGATGGGAGTTACGGTATATTCCTTGTTATGGGATATGCAGGATTTTTATCATCAACCGTAGTGTCCCCGGTTGAATTGTGACGTGAGATCCGGGGCTTCGATGCGGTCTATTAGTAGGGTTCATATAAGCAACCCTGATAAAGGCCCAGGGTTTCCATCAGGTTCCTACATTGCATCGAATTCTAACTGTCACGGCTGGTGTCGCTTCCACTTGGAGCTGGTTTCTCTCTTAATCTCTAAACCCAAAACCCCTAAACCCTAATGAAACCCAATTCATTCTCAGCCATCAGGAGCTGTTTGTGATTAGGGAATGATTAAGTTCTGGCTCCAGGTTCGGAGATTCAGGATTTAGAGATAAAGCAGAGTTTATAGGGTTTAGGCCTTAGGTTTTTCAACACACATCTGTTTAAGGGAGACACCCAGAGACGGGAGGCCTGTATCCTGTAAGCTAGAGTGCTTCTTTAAGGAACCGAAACGACTTCTGATACTCGCATAAAGACTTGTAAGGCATGAGAAAAAGGAACTACAGACATAAAAGCTGCTTTTTGCAAAGAAGCCTGACAAAAGCCGTGTGAGAAAAGACGAAAGCGCACTTGGAGTGTTTGCGCATCCCTAAACCCTGTGCCCTAAACCTAAACCCAAACGGAATTCGAACCAAAGTCACAAACCCTAAACAAAACCCAAGCCCTAAACTCAACCCAAACCCAGAAGGAATTGGAACCAACGTAATGACGTAATGTAGGAATAGGTAGGAACCTGATTAAGAAACCCTGGTCCTATAACCCCACAACAGCAGGATTCATAAAAAGAGCCCTGATAAAGACCCAGGGTTTCTCAATCAGGTTCCTACAGAATAAACCCTAAGCCCTAAACCCTAAACCCCCAACAAAAATAAACCCTATTGGGGCAGGTATGCCTCCGAGTACGAGGAGGTCCAGCTGGCCGTGCCCCTGCGCCTTTTAGGGTCGGGAGGTGCGATGATGGTTAAGGGTTCAGGGTTTAGGGTTTAGGGACTTTGAGGTTCACCGGAACACCGGAACTTGGAGGTTCCTTTCAAGGGTTTCTCTGGGAGTTCTATAGGGATAACCTAGAGGGTCCAAGTCCTCCCTGTCATGGGACCTTGAGGGCCTTATTCGGTACCGAAAGCCCATAAATAAGGACTGCTGGGACCGGTAGGGCGGCCCTAAGGGTCCATGTACACAAGTAGTACAAACAGTGGTCTTAAAGTAGTCCCAATATACGTACTTGAAGGCCAAAGTCTAGTAGCATTGACTCTTATGGTAATCACAGGACCAGGGGATTGGGGGGCCTACCGGGATTGGGGGCCTACCCGGTTTCCCTCTCTCTTAGGGTTTAGGGCTAAGGTTGTTGTTAGAGGTTTTATAAAGGTTTGGGGTTCAGGGTTTAATTATCGGAGTTTTGGGGAGTTTGGGGGTTGGGGTTGTTGGTATCAGGCTTCTTTTTGGGGTGGTTTTGCAGGTTATCTAAGTTATCTATAGAAAGTTTGTGCACGGTGTTTTGCAAACTATCGGGTTGCATGGTCTTCTTTCAGATTGGGCTCAGGGTTTGATTTCAGGCTTTGGGGTGTAGGGTCGTTGGAGTTTCTAAGCTGCAGTGATGATCATCCAGAGATTGCGTGGCTTTTCTGCCTTGCTGGGTGATTGTGATGTCGAAGGGACAAGGTTATCGCACTGCAGGTGTTTTGCCCCCGCGAGCCCTATAAAGACATTCTGTGTTGGTGCGTTGTCAAGATTAAAACGGACGGCGCCATAGCACTTCGGGCATCCTCACCACAGGAGCGCCAGGAAAACCGTTGTCAACTGTGGCAAGGCGCTGGCAATTGGCATCGAAGTCCAGGAAGCCATGCTCGGCTCTTGCTGAGGAGTTTGATTTTAAGTGACCATGATAGTTGTGCTATCTAATAACTTAACAGAGCCATACATAAGATTAATTTCAATTTCACAACAGGAATACGAATAACAATAATAATGCCTTCAACCGGGACACAACTGCTCACCTCCCCGCCCTCCCATCCAGAGCTCCCTGCAAAACCACAAAAGCTTCAAAGCCTAAACGCGAGAACGCCGCAGAGGTACGTTTGGTTGATTGGCTGGTGGCGACCGAAGGCCCAAGCTGAGCGCATAAACTTGGGTCTACTTAAAGGATCATGGGACTTAGTAAATAGGGTTATAATTGTGGTAACTATACTTATAACTACTTATAACCCCAATGAAGGTACTTATAACTTTACTTACTAAGTCCCATGATCCTCCAAGTAGACCCTAAACCCCTTATAGATCCCATTATAGGAACCCTGATAGATCCTTCTTAAAGGAACCCTAAACCCTAAGGCCACTTTACTAAGTCCCATGATCCTCCAAGTAGACTTAGACCCTAAACCCTAAACCCCTATAGATCCCTTTAAGGAACCCTATAGATCCCTTTAAGGAACCCTATAGATCCCTTTAAAGAGCCCTTTATTTAAGGAACCCTTCCTAAGTCCCATGATCCTCCAAGTAGGATGTTGGAGGGTTCCGGGCGTCTTTTTGTCGGGACCTCTTGGTACCATGTCATGGGTTCAGATCTGGGAGTTTCCGAAAGTTAGGGGGGTACCTTATTTTGGGGGTCCTTATAATAAGGATCCTACTACTTCGAGTATTATATTAGGGTGCCCTATTTTCGGAAACCCCCATGTGTGTATTTTCGACTTTGGGGGGGTTTAGGTTTCGAGACCCCTGAACTAACTGCCAAGGTTAGGGGTTTGGAAGGTTTGAAGACTTTGCAGCTTTAGTTTTGAGGGTTGAGGGTACAGGGGTTAGGCTTAAACCTAGGTTGAGGGAATGGAATTTGGAGTTTACCGTTTGTACTTAGGCATGTTGATGGTTTGGGGGTTGGGACAGTTAGGATTAAAGGCTTCGCTGTTTGACTCAGGTGTGCTCCACGTTGGGGATGATGTTGTCCTTTAACCGTTACCACCACCATAATCGTCATGATCATGGTCATCATCACCGCGACCCGTCATTGTGAACATCAAGGCGACAGGTTCTGCCCCTACAAGTTCCGCTTAGTTTGCGCCGTTCTCTAGGCCATCTGTTTTGCTCATACAGGATCCTTGCATTGCGGTTGTACAACAAGGAGGGGGACATGCTGATTTGGTAACTATGCCCGGCTACAGTTAGGAGCACCCTGTTGGGATACTCGCAGCTCTGTTTCCAAAACTACGTCTCCATGCAGACAATACTAACACCACTAAGAGTAATCGCAATAACAATAATACAAACAACACTCGGAATATTCACAAGACTAACAATACTAGCATACTAATGGAACAAAGCATGCGAATACTACTAATTGAAACGGAGTTTGGAGGGCGACACTTTGATTTGTGTGTTTGGTATTAACCCGTAACCCTAAATCCTAAGCCCTGAACCCTTAAACCCAACCTGGAGCCCCGCAACAACCCACTGCTTCTGGAGTTAACTATGAAAAGAAGCCATAATATCCTTAAAACATCGTCCGTACTTTACCGTAGGCCCGGGAATCTTAACCCACAGCGCGGGAGGTGTGGAGAACCAAGCCTTAACGGTTTCAGGGCAGGGCCTGCGTATCCAATTACGCATTATCTTGACACGTTATGACCCTTACCACCTGGGTTTAGGGCTCCTTTAAAGGGATCAAGAGGGTTCCTTAAAGGGATCTACGGGGTTTAGGGCTTACCTCGACCCCCAACAGTAGGTAAAGTAATGGCCCAAAACCCATAAAAGGCTATTATTCTACATACTTTTGGGGTCCAGGTAGTTCTGGGATCACAACCAACTACTTTGTAGAGTTCGGATACATGGGCAGGCCTTGTGCCTCAAGCGACGCGGTTTTGCCACTCAGCTTTGCTTGACCCTTCTTTCCGACGAGGCCTCGAGCCCAAACCCTAGAATTTTGGGCCCACCGGTCTGTATCGCCCACTGCCCAGAGGGTCCATATACACTACCATTATGGAATTAGATCCCCAAAACCACAATGGGGATGGGCTTTCAGGACCTAAATCCATAGTAGTTTATATAGACCCTAAACCCTAAACTCCCTAAACCCTATATAACCCCTTAAAGGAACCCTTAAAGGAGCCCTTAAAGGAACCCTTAAAGGAGCCCTTAAAGGAGCCCTATGCGAATATGGACCCGCTGTGTTCTGCAGGCTGCAACAACTTCAAGCCAGTCCAAGCCGGCAGGCGGCTCCCAACAAAACGAATGGAGTTTAGGGTTTAGGCCTGAGGGTTTAGGATTTAGGCTTGAGGGTTTAGGGTTTAGGCCTGAGGGTTTAGGGTTTAGGGCTTGAGGGTTTAGGATTTAGGCCTGAGGGTTTAGGGTTTAGGCTTCAGGGTTTAGGCATCAAGGTAGGGTTTAGGCTGCAGGGTTCGGGGTTCAGGCTTTAGGATTTAGGGCTGAGGGTTCAGGGGATAGAGTTTACTCTAGGCAGCAGTGGTCCTTCTTGTAGGACTTTCCATCCAAGAGATTGTTGACATTTCAGCCCAGCTCCTAAACCCTAAACCCTATACCCACAGCCCTAAACCCGCCTAAACCCGAACGGTGAGTTCTGTTTTTCCTTGCAGTAGGTGGTCCGGGCTGAGTGGATGGGATGTGGCTTTTTCTGACGGTTGCTAGGGAGGCTGAGTGGCATAATCTAGGGGCCCTGAATCAGATCGGGCGTGTGTGGGTCTTGCCTACATACTACAGATGTATAAGAAATGCTGCATGTTAATAATGTTGCAAACCTGATGACACGGTAGTCAGACAATGTTAATGTTGAGCCGGGGTATTGGGAGACAGTTTGAATATTTGTCCAGCGTGCCCGAAGTCAGAATTCGCTAGCCACACGGCATGTGTGAGTAAGTAGACTATCTCTTGGAGTTCTCCAGCGTTGAACTTTGACAGATGTTCGACCCGAGCCCCCTAAAAAGCCTCCAAACCGTAGTAGTGAGGTTTATTCGGCACCCGGTTTACAGGACCCACTGGCTAGAATTTTAGGGCTTGATGCATAGATTTACCTCTTACGGCATTGGGCTTAAGGTGTGTTGCGGGGACGTACTTGGCGCAGTTTAGCAGCAGCCAGAAACCCTTCCAGTCCCCATGGCCTCCTCCACTATTCTGGGACCAACCAGGAACCCCCAATGGCCCCTTAGTGGAGCCCCTTAGGGCCCTTGAAACTGGGTATTTGAGGTATGATGAAGAGGGTAGTTGTGGGTTTAGGAAGTGGCTCCGTATGGCAGCAGGATACTTGAAATCACCATCGAGTTGAATCTGCGTACAGAAGGTTCTGGGTGCATCCTCTTATTCAATGTAAGCTGTGAGTGAGACGAAAGGATCACTACAGTGCGGTACAGTACAGTACAGCACAACCTCGCGACTGAACCTTAAAAACTCCGAACCTGTCCTTGTTATGTAAATTACACTGTATTGCACCCAGAAACGTTTTCTGAATATTTTAAACCCCTAAACCCTAAACCCTAAATTAGGGTCCTGTCGTACTCCAACCACTTCGGCCAGCGCCTCGACTGAGAAATGATGTTGTGCACCTTCCTCTTACAGAGAAGATCAGCATGCTCCAGGCCAATTTCCGGGAGCGGTGGTCCCAGGGACAAAGGCAAGGCAGTGAAGCATGCGAAGATGCGGGACGAGTTGCCGCCTTTGGAGGTAGACATGGCGGAACAGCAATCGAAGAGAAGTGGTTCCCCACGACACCAGATGAGCGATCTCATCAACAGACTGTATAAACAAGGGGCTTTACAAACAATTACCAATACTATTTTGGGGGCTTCTCATTTTAGTTATAGTAAAATGGGCCCCAAAAGCCTACTGCAGCTCAAGCAACCGATCTTTCAGGAGGCACAGAACTTAGGGGTACTTAGAAATATTTTTTGATTTTGTGTTATTATAATCCCTAAGACACAGCTAAAATTACAATCTTTGCTAGGGTTCTAAGTTCAGTATACAGAAGGTGACTTGGCAGTTGTTGTTAGTTCTTCCACCGGGTTCACGGTTTTGCGCTTCTGGGTTTTAGGTGGATTACCTTAAGGACCCTAACCCTAAGGCTCCATGTACCCATATAGTAGATACTTAGGCCTTAAAGGGATCCCTATATAGGTACTTTACGGCCTAAGAATCTACTATATTGGTACATGGAGCCTTAGGGTAAGCTATGGAAATTATGGTATAATCTTTATCATGGGTAATGCAGCATTTATATCATCAACCGTAGACATTGTGGTTTTCGAGATGAAGCCGAAACCCAAGACGTCCCAAAAACAAACATTTGCAAGGCTCAACCTCCAAGTTTAAACCCAAACACAAAACTTCCAAAAGCCTATGACATTTCTTTCTGATATATATATATATATATATATGCAAATCTGCACATAGATAGGTAGGTATATAGTTAGATCGAAAGAAAGAGTCATAGATAGACCAGTAGATAGAGAGAGATGTAGATAGATATGCAGATATGTAGACATGTATTTAGGTAAGTATGCTATAGACACTAGACATTGGCAGAATCTATGCCCGGGGAAAGACTTTGAGGTCTTTTGGGTCTAGGGAGTTTAGCGACTGTTATGATATGTATTCAGCAAACGCCAATGTCTTTCAGGGCTTATGTGGAGTACAGGCTGGGTTGCGATTTGAACCTTAAGCGCCGTAGACTAGTGAGAATATAGTTTTCCTCCACCCTCCTACCACTACATCCAGAATCCAAATTTGACTCAAACCTGAACTCGAAACCTCTACACCCGCACCCGTGCTTATTAAACCTGAACCCTTGTGGAACCGCCTGACCAGGAACCATTACAAACCTCTTCAGAATCTACTAAACCCCTACAGACCCCCATAAAGCCCTTAACCGTAGCCAGGCTGTTGGCAAGTGGCCTTTGGCTAACCTTGCGGTCGCGGCTCCTTCGTGCGTCTCTCCGTCAGGTTTTGCGGTGCAGTGCCCTTTTGGGGGACCCTTCTAAAGGTTTTGGCGACGGGTTGAAGCGACCATGATGTCATATAGCAAGAGGTTTAACGACAGATCCTGTACGATCCTACGTAGGGTCGTTGCGCAACAACAAGGAAGGTATATGCCTATCGACTATATCTGTCTCGACTTGAAGTTATAGTCGTAAACACTGTACTAGTACATTATACAACCTGCCATATGAATATGTGTGTATACATATTTATATCCCTGTTAGGCTAACTTAAACTGCATTTGGGATGGCCGTCTTGTTCGGGAGAGGAGCTGAAAGTACCTTGAAGCGTACTGTCTTTTTTACTCGATATCCAGTGACGAAAACCCTGTCTTCGACAACAGTTCATGCTTGCTTGTTGATGGCGTGGACGAGCAAATCGATCACAAACCCGAGACGCTGAACCCTCAACTAAATGCGCAAATGCCAGGTGGCAAGACATCTGGGGGGCAGACTCGGTAGAGCGAGTGGCTTTAGCTGTGTTGCGAAGGCCGCATGGTTGGCTCTTCGAGGTTGCGCTTGAAAGTTGTTCTTGTAGTTTAGGCTTCCACGAACATAATTGTCTCTGACGAAAAGATTCCCCAACCCGCCCCGAATGGAGCCCCATAGCATATGGACCTTCATTTTGGATCGAATAGCTCCCTGTAACGTGGTCGTTATGCGTCAGGATTTAGGGTGAATAGGGCCCCTATTTGAGGTCTATATGCAGGTCCCCTCTGTCTTTTTGAGACGAGTCACATTGCCAAGGTTTGGGCTCTCACCTAGAGTCTTCGTTTCACCGCAAAACAGCTGGCTTAACGCCGGCTTGCAACAAGGGTTCGTAGAGGAGGGAAGTAGTTCACATAACTTCCCGCAAGGCTCGGGCGTCAGCTCAGAAACTAAGCACCATGGCTGGCTCGTTTGGCGGCGGGGTTTGGTAGCCAAGACTACGTAATCCGAGGGTCTCATTAGTAGGGGGGGGCCCCCCACCCCCCCCCGCAGCCCCCCCCCTCACAATTAAATTTGCGGGGGCCGCATTAATGGAAAATCATCCCTGGGTTGCTGGGGCTCTTTGGGCTCTATTAAAAACCATAGCAATGTATTGAATCTCTATTAGAAAGCCGTTCAAAAAGGCTGGATGCATGGAGAAAACCTCCACTGGGGCTCTCTGGGCTCTATTAAAAACCATAGCAATGTATTGAATTTCTATTAGAAGCCGGGACCGGCCGGCTTCCTACAAATGTGAACCCTTTTATTAATGTGTTTCCGTGTGCCTGCGGGCAGGCCCCGTAAGGGGTAGGTCAGGAGAGAATGAAAAATTGCTTCCCCGGATAAGCGAATGAATAAGGAAAGCTAGCTTTCTGCGATCCCTGAACTTTTGGAAAAAGCTTGGCCTCGGAGGGCAGCCTCTGCTGAAAGGAAAGGGCCGGTTCCCACAGAAGCTTTGCTTGTGTATTAAAGAAGCAAGCAAGCAATGGCAAAGACCGCAGCAAGCTGCACCAGCAGACTGGAGATCGGCGAGCAGCTCCAGTTGCAGAAATGAAGAGCCCGTGCACAGCTTAGCACCCTGCAAAAATTAGGGGCCCAATTTTTTTTTAAATGTGTGGTATTTTCCCCAAACGAAATCCTCGCGTAATGGAAACACCTCTTCGGAGCCATTCCGGAGCCGAAAAGATTTCTTTAAATGTGAGGGATTTTGTTAATCAGACCCTCGGATTAGGCAGAAGGCTACTTCCTAGCATAGAAGTGTGATTCGTCTTTCTCGGAAACCAAGTAAGATTAGGCTTGAGATGCCGATGCTATGCCACATAGCCTGGCCAAAGGCACCGCCGTCGAGTGCTGCATTGACAAGCTCCGCTTCACTGAAAGCAGATGGCACCGGAAGCCGGAGTCTGTGTGGCCACGCTCTCACACCATTGACGGGTTTGTTGTGCTTACGGTCGTGGTACGTGATGGGTCGATGCCTTCGCAGCAGTCAAGGGCACCGAGTCGGGCACGGCCTTTGCGCTTTGCGGGGAAGATTTCTGGCTAGCTCCCAACGAGTGCGTCAGCGTGTGGGCCGACGGTACATGTGTGCAAGGCAAAATTGCCCCGTCTGGGCAGTGAAATAGATTTTGGGTTCGTCTACAGATTCGGCGACGTCCATCTTCTTCTTCTTCTTCTTCTTCGCTCTTTTGTGTTTGCTGCTTTGGTTGCCCACTTGTGTTTTCTGGCCTTCTTGCTTGCTGGCTGGCCGTCTTGCCGGCGCATTTTTCGATGCTTTGTTCATTCGTTGCCTGGTCTCTTGAGTCATGCGATCTGCGCGTTGAGCTGTGGCTAGCCGTCCCTGCCTTTGTTTTTTTTCTCTTGCGTGTTAGGTGGTTTGTTGGTTGTTTCCTCGTTTAGCTTGCTGGGTTGGTGCTCCGCCTTTGTTTGGTCGCAGCTGGTTGGCTAGTTGTTCGTCTAATCTAGTTGATGAGCTAATGAGTTACTTGTCGAACAGTCCCTTTCCGTTTTTGACCATGAGCTTCGTTTGGAAAAGCTTGTCGAATCTTGGTCGGCTAAACAATGTCTTGCTGCCTGCTGCGTCGTGCATGTCTTCCGTGTTTGTTGGATTGTGCGCTCGAGAACCATGTGTGTTTTATATTGTTTTGCAGCTTCAGCTTGCGTGCGTGACCCAAAAAGCAGCGGACCAGGCGTGGCGCCACCCGAGCCACTCGCCCGAAGACATCTGTGTCGTGAACCCTGTCGTGCCCCCCGCAGACTAAACACGCTCTGCAAAGTTGTTGCTTTCACCTTGCGCAATGCTTTACGCGGAGAGATGTGTTGCCGCTAGGCTTCTTGCCCATCAACACCATCATGCTCAGCCGGGCGGGGGTTCTGCATTCCCGCATCGGTGTGGATGCATGATAGGGTGGCATCTCAGTTGAGGTGTGTGTATGCGTGTCTGTGTGTGTGAGAGTTCGGGAGCTTCGCTTTGGATGTCGGAGGCGATGTGGACGGGGATGAAACTGTCCGTCGTTAACACAATGCTTTTCAAAACTTGCTGAGAATCTGTGTGTGCAAGCAGTGGATACCTAGGTCTGCTGGAGGACCTCATGGAATTGGTCGAGATTACGCAGCCCTTCGTGGACGCGAAAAAGTTCGAGTATGGGTTGTGAACGGGGTCATCCTGGGTCGGAGTTCAATCTCTTAATGCAAGATTGCTCAGCGGCTCAGCGTCTGACCTTGAAGGGCATGCGAAAACGGGCGCTCGCCGGGTTGCGAGACCTTAAAGCAGCGACGGCCTGGGACAGGTCCAAGGAACGAAGCTTCTCAGTTGAATGTCAGCTCAGGTTGATTCTCGACATTTCGATCTGCGTGTGTTTGTCTCGACGTGGCTTGAGGTCAAGATTTTGTCGACTTCATTGCCAGCCTTTACAATTCCCCTGTTAGGGGGATTGTGGCCAGCACTCCTGCAGGCGTAGCTATTTATTAACAGGGGTCGCGACTTTGCCCATTCTGTGCACGCTTGCGCATGCAGCGTCTGGGCTGGAGTGAACTGTTGATTGAAGTTGTGTGTCTTGTTTAAGTTTCGCGATCATGCAAAAATTAGCAATATCGGGTGTGTTAAGGCCATGGGCACCCCTAAAACTTATTCGGCCAGCGACTTCCTAACGTATGTCGGTGGCGTCTGCGAGAATCTCCTGGCCCCCATGGACACAGATGTCACATCAATCCTTTGAGTGTGGGCCTCGATCATCCATCAGGGAAGTGGCTGCACCTTGCCTGGGAGTCCTACAGAGCGATTGCAAAGCAGACCAGCTCACGGGTTTAGGGCTTCAGGTTTATAGGAATTGTATAGGGTTTGGGTCCCGAGTTTCGAGCGAATTGATCGAAAGTTTTGACCGAAACCTTTTCGTTAGCTTTGCACTTCGCATGTGGGGCTGGGCTGGGCCGGGATGGCGGGCTAGCGGGCTGGGGTTAGCTGAATTTGGGGATGGGCTTTGCGGCGGCGGGTGGCTGGGGAGGGGGGCTGGCGCGGCTTGGAATTGGGCTGGGAGATCCTCGCACACGTTTAATGAAAATTCAAACTGAATGGAGATGCAGTTCGAAGCGAAAGTCACCCAATTTCTGTTTGTCCGGTTCTTGAGGGTTTAGGGCTTGAGAGATTAAGGTATAGAGCAAACAAATACACGAACAGTAGTAGCAGCAGCAGCTACTGTTGCAGCAGCATCATGCGCGCGCGAGGAAACCCTAAGCCTTAAAAACCCTAAACTCTCAAGCCCTCAACCCTAAACAGTAATCCCATAAACCCCTAAACCCCAAGCCCTGAACCCTCAACTTTAAACCCTGATCCAAACTCCTATAGTCGGAGAATAAGAGGCTGGCGGAGCCCGAGGAGATGGAAGTCGCCTCTCCTGCAGAGTGCGCTGGGCCTGGGGGCCCCAGAGATTTGGGGCTTAGGTGTTTTAGGGGTTTAGGGTTTGAGGTTTAGGGGCTTAGGGGTTTTAGTTGTTTAGGGTTTAGGGGCTGGGGGTTTAGGGTTCAGGTTTAGGGGTTTAGAAGTTTGGGGCTTGGGGCAAAGATTCGGGGCTTTGACGGTTGTTGGTTGGGTTTGGCCGTAGGGCTTCGCAATTAGCTTTTGCTGGGTTCCTCCGGGTGGTATCAGCTTCCTAGGTGCGCTTAGGCATTTGGAAAGTTTTTTGGGTTTGTGAGGGTTCTGGGATTGTAGAAGGTGGAAGGTCCACAGGGGTGGTGTCCTTTGTTTAATGATTTGCGCCACGAGACACTGCACTAATCCAATCCCTAAACCTCGTTCGAACCGGGCGTTGTGCCGCAGCCAGTGTTCCAAGCGGCTCAGCGGAAGCTCGTTTTTGCTGGCAGGCGCCACGCGCAGAAACGTCGTCAAGTCGAGGTGGCTATTTTCTCAAAAATTGCCACCTCGGCTTTAAGAGGGCTTTGCAGAGCCCTGAAGTCGTTATGCTTGGGAAGCGTGGGACTTCATGAATCTCGGAGGATTTTGGTGATGTGTTCTTGGTGCGCTGATTTTCGCCGACTTTCGGCTCTCTGGTTTGGTGTGCTTTTTCGTGAAGTTCAGAGAATCGACCAAGGCTCCTTGTCGTGCAGCTGCTCATAAGGATCAGCACCGAGCCTATCCAAATGATAAGCTTCAAAGGTTCCAAAAGCTTGAGAAAGACTATTGAGTCCGGGCTTGTCTGGACGTTATCATGGTTAGCACATGGATGCTTTCGGGCATGGATGGGGTCTGATCTGGACGTTATCATGGTTGGCACATGGATGCTCTGCTCATGTTTGGCACATGGATGCTTTGCGGGCATGGATGAGGTCGATCTGATCTGGACGTTATCATGGTTGGCAGATGGATGCTCTGCGGGCATGGATGGGGTCTGATCTAGCCGTTATCATGGTTGGCAGATGGATGCTCTGCGGGAGTGGATGGAGTCTGATCTGGACGTTATCATGGTTGGCACATGGATGCTCTGCGGGCATGGATGAGGTCGATCTGATCTGGACGTTATCATGGTTGGCACATGGATGCTGTGCGCATGGATGAGGTCTGATCTAGACGTTATTATGGTTGGCGCATGGATGCTCTGCGGGAATGGATGGGGTCTGGTCTGCACGTTAGTTATCATAGTTGGCACATGGATGATCTGCGGGAGTGGATGGAGTCTGATCTGGACGTTATCATGGTTGGCACGTGGATGCTCTGCGGGAATGGATGGGGTCTGATCTAGACGTTATCATGGTTGGCACATGGATGCTCTGAGGGAATGGATGGAGTCTGATCTAGACGTTGTCATGGTTGGCGCATCGGGAATGGATGGGGTCTGATCTGGACGCTATCATGGTTGGCACTTGGATGCGCTGCGGAAATCGATGGAGTCCGATTTGGACACATGGTTGGCACATGGACGCTCTCCATTCCCGCGGATGGACGGAGTCTGAAGTCTGATCTGGACGCTATCATGGCTGGCACATGGATGCGCTGCGGGAATCGATGGAGTCTTATCTGGACGTTATCATGGTTGGGGCATGGATGCTCTGCGGGAGTGGATGGAGTCTGATCTGGACGTTATCAGCGGGAATGGATGGGGTCTGATCTGGAGGTTATCATGGCTGGAACATGGATGCACTGCGGGAATGGACGGAGTCTGATCTGGACGTTATCATGCTGGTTGGCACATGGACGCTCTGCGGGAATGGATGCAGTCCTCTGTGAGAACGGATGGAGTCGGCGCAGCACATGTATCTAGCAGTGGATGCTCTGGCAATCGGATGGGGTCGGAAACACTCGGCACCTGTATGTGGCACACGGATGGGGTCGGAGTGCGGCGTAACGTCTGGTTCGAGGGCTAAACCTTACACCCTAAATGGGGGCGTGCAGCCAGTGCAAGTTCGGAGTTTCACAGCTGCTCTAGCTAGATAGCGGTCTCCAAGCTTGTTTACTCGGAGCTTTTCAATTTGCGGGGTTTGGGGTCCTTTTGGGGTTGAGGCTTTTCAGCGTTTTGGGTTTGGAGTTCAAAACGTGTTCGTGAGTTTATCATTATCGTGGCTTGAGCGTTGCTTCTGAATGAGACTTTATAGTCTATAGTATGTACTATGGGATCCGTAAAAGGGGTGGTTCCGGAGAGAAGGCACCATGGATCTTTAGCGGGGGAACCTTTGGGAGCACAGCGAAAATTCAGAAAGCTGGGTCACATTTTGGGGGTTTCCTTATTATAGTTATAGCAATAGCAATTAAGGCCCCCATATTCGCACCCCTTGGACCTCCTTGCTTCCAGGATCCTTAGCAGCTTAGCAGCGTAGGCGGCGCGTGATGTCGTTGAAGGTCTTGTCTTTTTTTCGTCGAGTTGTCGGCTGGATCCGCTTTACGCGTGCAGTAGGTTTAGTCATTACTCAACCCTAAGCCTTTCGTTTGATTATTTTTTTGGCTCTCTGTTCTGGAGGTTGCATAAGGTTTTCGAATTTATGGTTCAAGGTTCACGGGTACTGAGCAGCAGCATTGTAAGGATGGGAAGTAGACTTGGGTACAAGCACCTACATTTGCAGCAATGGTTTCATGTTTACATAGGCATCCATGTGTTTTCGACAACTTCGCCCTGGTTCCAATAACTGGCATGGCACATGACCAGCGCAACAGGATGAGCCCTACATCCATCAGTACCATACACCCTACTTCGAGCCTTGCACTGTAAATGGGAGTCTCCTCTGCACATGAGCAGCTCGTCCAGGGGTTTAAGGTGTTAGGGTTGGGGATCTAGGGTTTAAACTTCGGCCGCTGGGGTTTAAGGTTTGGGATTGGGGGGTTTGGGGTTTGGGCGTCGAGGGTTTAGGGTACAGAGGGCTGGATAGCCGACCTATTTAATATGTAGGGGGGTGGTGGCGAGTGTTGTGTATACCAACCCGCCTTCTCAGGTTTGTAGGTTTTTTTGTTAGGGGCCACAACCAAAATTAGGCAAATTATGTACGGCATATACGGCCCAGGATGTGTTTGGGGATTGGAGTTTTGATTGTGGGGGATACGGGTTGTCAAAATATCATGTACGAGCATGTACGACCTGCCGCATGCACGCCATTGCACGCCCGCAGAATCATCCCCGACAATGGAACCGTGCCGTCGCCAACATGAAGTTGACACAAGGCAGGACGTTTGTTTGCACGCTACGCGCTACACTCTTAAGGGATGTACATGTCGGCACCGGCAGGCCAACCCTGAAAGGGGATCAAGCCAAAGTTCCAAGCGAAACCACTCAACTTCCGTCGGAACACTTCAGCTCTTTGACGCGATTCGATGGACTGGCGTCCTCCTTCGATTATACCAGATCACGTGACATAGCAGGCGGAATAACTTAAGGTTTATAGGTAAGCATCAACTCGTACGTTTGTCAAAGCCTACAATTGCACGGGACTGGACGGTGTCTTTTGGATCTGCTTGGGATATGGGCCGGTACACACGAAGGTTGCAACCAAGTAGCAGCCGCTCCTTCCGTTCTCCATATGCAATCTCCGGAGCCGCCAGGAGGCTCCGCGTGCCTTCGCCCCGCTTGCATGCAAACCGCGATTTATTACTTAGTAGGTTTGCAGCAAGGAGTTCCCAAAACATCATCATCATCATCATCACTTGTTAGACAGTCAGGACGAGGCAGTTGCAACACTTACGTGTTTTCTGCCTTCGGAGAAGAATACTTAGCGCGTGGTTTCAGATTCATAGGCAGCATATTCGTAGGAGTGTTCCCGCATGGCGTGCTTGAGCACTCTGTGCTCAGGAACCATAGTTGAAGCACTGATCCCAAATGTCGGCTTCTACGCCATCCATGTATGCAAGGCTCATGGATAATTAGCGGAATTGGGAATGCAGTTGCTTGTGTTTGTTTCGGGTGTAGAGACTGATATACTCGTAAATACCCTGCCCTTCGGTGTGTTGGTTCGTCTTGTTACCTGTTACCCAACATGCGCATTTGGTTGAGCCTGTGCTGGAACGTGCAATATGCGTCGGCAAGAGCTGGCATGATCATACAACTGGTAGGATCCCTGCGTTATGCAAGAAGTTCGAAAGAGTCGCAGTCGCGGCTCCCCAGGTTACAGACGTTCCTGGCGCTCTGCGAGGCCCAACACCTCAACACGATGCAAGCCAGGATGTATGCAGGGCTACGATAAGTTTTCAGAAGTTTTACGGGTTTTGTAGAGTGGCGAACTACACGCGCTGTGTAAGGTTCCGAAAATAGACCCTCCCCATGGAAAGAGCTACACGTCACGATCTAGAAATAGACATAATAAGAGGCCGAACTGAGTCCAAACTTTCAACACAAAGCTCGCAAAGTAAAGCCGAGTCCCGACGCCACAAAAACACATTCGAGCTGCTTTCTCAAAACCCTGGAGCTTAAACCATAACCTTGAGCCGTTCACCCTGTCTTCATGAAACACCTGAATTCTGAAAACCGCCTAGAATGCCAAAGACAACACCACAGTATTAAAGTCGTGTCAACAAACAACCCTGAGTTTCCATTTCGGAGCGACCATTTGTCTGGTTAGGGGCACGAGGTGATCAACAACAAGGAACACTTCAGCGCCTCAAAACAGGGGTTTTGTAGTAATTAGCAGAGTTGCACTATAAAGGGGTTCCGATGTATACTATGGTATACTGCTTAACTTGAAACCCTTGACCCTAAACCCTGAAGCACCCTAAACCCTCAGGGAAAACACCCCAACAGAAAATACGTCAGCCCATGATCGGTTGCCCCCTTACGATCTCAAGACGAGGCATTGAAAAGAAAACCACGCGTGTCGAGCTTCGGTGCAGAGTCTTAGAGTGATCAAGGCGGTCAATGGTTTCGCGTAACAACACAACTAGATTCAGTAGGGTTTAGCCTACTCAGGGTCAGGAGTGGGCAGTATTAATTACAAGCAAAGAGAGTCTGCCAATCTAGCCGAGGTAAATCATGTTTGACGTGAGGGGTCTGTTTCGTCACCTGGAGACAGTGCTGGTTTCTCAATTTCAGGGCCGCAAACGCTACCATCAGAATCAGCATCTTCGGTCCTCAGTGTAATTTCAGATTTGCTCTTCAATCACGACCTTAGGTCCTGAGTCTAACCGCAGGTTTGCTGTTCAAGTCAGGGTTTTCTGGGTTTCCTTATACGTAGAAGAACCCCCGACGCTAAATCTAAGATTTCGCATACAACAGGCATGGCTGTAACTGAACAAGTGCAAAGAAGAAGTGCGGTGCGGATCTGTCGCCATACGAACAGTAGTGCTCGTAATGATGCGACCCACAACGAAGGCTGTTCGAAGAAGATGAAGAAGAAACAAGAGAGTTAGTGGCAATGTGCGCTTGTCATCACAATGGGAACATTTTGCACATTATAAGGCCTAAGCCTACGCCCCTAAACCTTAAATCGTAGCACTCCTATAATTATCGAGGTTCGTGATCAAGCCCATGAGCCCTAAACTACAGCTTTGCTTTGCAATTGGTGTGTTGTTTAAGGTTTTAGGGTTTAGGGTTTTACAGTTTCAGATATAGTTTCTATTTGAAGTACGGCTTGGGGCACCTAAAAATTTCAATTCTAAGTTTTCACCCGAAGCCCTCAAACGTCAAATCTGCAGGGAGAGGGCGATGGTTCCGCCGCACGTGTGCGCCTGTATCCAGCTCCTCGGCAATCCGACCCTTACGTGATCAGTTTTTCGTTTCACCAGAATAGACTGGGGGTTGGGTCCTAATTCTACGTGCCCTGCTTTTCTGGAGATCTAGAGACGGACATCAAAAACACCCAGCAACCCAAACCAGGTAGTATGTTACCCAAAGACCCCGCCCTACATCCGAAGCCCCTAAACTACCCCCAACCCTGAACCCAATCCTAACCTCGCCCCCCATCCAAGCCCAAAGCCCCAAACCCTAAACCCTAAAACCCTAAACCCTAAATCCTTTCAGCCTGCAAAGCTTCAGAAGCTGCATGGCAGGAAGGGATGTGACTCCACAACTCACTTGCGCGCCGTAGATCAAAAGATCCACTGGCTTGGAAAAAATGCCCGTAGGGTTTGGGTCCTCGGGGTGTAGGGTTTGGGTCCTCAGAGCAGAAGGGTCTGTATCTTCCTATGGGTAAATGATCGATAGTCCAACGCGTGCTTTTGAGATGCTATATTTTATACTTTCCTTATAGAATTATGTGGGATTGATTATTAGACTTCAGATATATTTTAATTTTTTGAATACATCAGCTCTATTGCAGATATCTAGTA